AGATTTTTGTTTCTATTGTTTCTTGTTTCTGTTTTTGTTGGTTTTGGTCCTAAGAAAATCTGAGACCCAGAGTCCAGGCAAAAACAAGGGCAGGTGGGCTGGGGGCTGGGCTGCCCCACTCATTCCTCCGAGACAGAGACAGGGGTGATGGTAGGGTCCTCTGCTCCTGGCACTCACAAAAGGGGCAAGGAGGGTGGGAAGAGGGAGCTGGTGGGGTCTGGTCCAGGGGATCTGGGGCGCCCTCTGCTGGACTCTGCGGGGCGGTTCCTGGACAAGGCACATGGGGCTTTGGCCTGGATGTGGGAGGTCCTAAAGGGACCTCAGGGCAAAAGAGGGGACCTGGGTTTGGAGGGATGTCCCCAGGGCACAGAAGTAGCCTGGGGGTCCACTGTCCCCTCATATAGATTAAAAACCCACAAAACGTCATATATATGTAGCAAACCAGTGCTGATCCCCAAGCCTCCCTTCCCTACCAGATGGGGAGAGGGGCCCCTCTCCAGTCCCTCCCTGCCCGCCCCCCAAGAAGGACCAGAGTGCTTTGCATAGATACAGAGTCAGGGTCGGGGCAGGGCTCCTCAGCCCCTCCGGGAGGCCAAGGAGTATGGTTAAGGGGTCTGGAACCTCACAGGTCACTTTCTCCATAGAGTGCCGTGGAGAAGGACTTGTAGTCAAGGGCTCCGGGCACAGCGTCAGGACCCTGGTAGGGTGCCATGCGGGCGATGCAGTACTCAGCCTGGTCAGGGGGCAACTCTCTCCGCAGCTCCTCGGCAGTGATGAAATTCTGGGGGTATAGTGCAGGACTTTGAGCCACCCCATCCAACCCACTTGATCTGGGTCCCCAGTGCCGGTTGAGCTTCAGAACAGCTCTGGTGCTTCTTCGTGCTCTGGCTTACCTTGTCCCCTGCCAGGACCTTGAAAGAGGCAATGACCTGGTCTGCTGTGTCTGTGTCTGTGGTCTCCCTTGACATGAAGTCGATGAAAGCTTGGAAGGTCACAAGGCCGCTGTGGTTGGGGTCGACCACACTCATGATACGGTTGAACTCAGCATCGCCCTGTGAGGTGGGGTGGCATGGGGACACAGCACTTAGTAGGGCAGGGGCAGCAGGGCTGGCTGCAGATTCAGTTTCAGGAAAAGAGAAAGGTCAGGTCATCAGTCTGCCCACCACAGCGTAGCCAGGCAGCACCCAGCCTATCCTCCACCCATGGTCTCGGGAAGCAGGGAGTTGGGTCCACTGTCCCAACCCTGGCTTAGGTTAGCTCTGGAGGATGGGGAAAAAGAGGAGAAACAGAAAGAGAAGGAGAAAGTGGGAGGATTGCCCTTTGAATACTTGTAAAAAGAGGGGCTTAGGGAGGAACCCAGTCTGCAGGTGCAGCAGAAGTCAGGCAAGGCCAGGCTGCACTGGCAGGTGGGGGAGTGTCCCCAGGAGGATGTGGAAGCTCAGGAAGCTCAGAAGGCTGTAAGGGGCTGGGGGAGGAGCAGAGGCAGGAGGAGGAGGAGCAGAGGCTAGGAAGGCAGAGGCTGCATACCAGGCTGTATCCTGTGGAGATAAGCAGGGCCCTGAAGTCGTCGGAGTCCATGCTGCCTGTCTGCTTCTGCTCCCAGGACGTAGCATAGCAGAGGCCAGGCCCAGAGTAGGCAAGAAGGCGGGCCATTTGCACAGCGGACAGGACAGTGGAGGGAGCAGGGAGACAAAGGAGGCCCCGAGAGACCAGGTAAGGGGAAGGTGTCCAGAGAAACACGAGGAAGGAGACAAGAGAGCCAGGGAAACAGCACACAGTGGCAGGGGTGGAGTGGTGAGAGGGAAGGGAGGAGAGAGAAAGAGAAGAGTGGTTAATACCACGGTCTGCCAGGGCTCCGGGGTGTGCGTACCTGCCGGTCGTTCTCCACGTCGTAGCCCAGGCTGATGAGGCAGGCCTTGAACTCCTCAGGCCCCAGTGCCCCGCCATGGTCCTGCCGGGGGCCATCGAAGGCAGGCGTGCAGGGGTAATGCAGAGACCAGACCACAGAGGCGGGAGGGGGCCAGGCCACATGCAGTGGGCGGGGGAGGAGGACACATGGGGAAGGGAAATACACAGTTAGAGGCGACGTAGACAAGGTGGTGGCCAGGGACAGGTAAGGCTGTCAGGGACCCCCCCAGGGCTTCAGTGAGCTGCACTGAGGACCGAGTGAAGGGCTCACAGATGGAAGGGGACCTCTCTCTGCCTTCACAACACGTGCAGGAGATGGGGCATGAGGGGTTGCACGCTGGTACCCACAGAAGCTAAGCTCTACTGGATTAGCAGGTTGTCTGGAGACAAAGTCAAATTCAACACTCAGAACCTCCAAAAGGGTTCTGAATTTTAAAAACATGGTGCATATGGGGACCAGAGTCTTGGGACCTCTGCCCCAGATGGCCTTGTATGTATATACCCTATGCCCTGTCAATGGCTGGGATCTTGCCCTCCCTGTGGACAGTGGCTGATAGAACAACAGATGGATGCAAAGATGGAGGGGTAGGATAGGACGTGACAATCGGAAGTGTCTGATGACAATGGGGATCGAAGAGGCCACGCTACGCCAGCATGAGGGGCAGGAGAAGCTTACCTTGTCGAAGTGGTTAAAGGACGCCCGGAACTCTTGCATCTGCTCCTGGCTGATGCCCTTGGCATCTCTCGTGAGGATCTGGTTCTCCACCTCGTTGATGGTGCGGGCAATGGTGGTGAGCAGCTGTTCCCAGCCCACACGGATGTGCTGGGGAAGGGAGAGGCCATGACTGGGGGCTGGGTGGCTGTCCTCACCAGGTCAGGTCTGGGGGAGAAGGGGCCCCCCCACATGACATTCTCACACTCTTCTATACACCCTATCTACTGACAGGGTTCACGGGATCATGGCACCCTCTGGCTGCCTTCATCACCTGGTTCACCTGGTTCATGTGGCAGAGGAAAAAGGGCCCGAGATGCTGGAGCCACATGCCAGTTTTTCAGAGGTGCAGTCACTCCTCAACAACTGGCCCTCTGATGGTGGTCTGTGGTACTGTGGGTTGGCACAGTGAAATGCCATTTCAAGTTCCCCAGACCCTGGCACATTAAGCCCCTCACTCTGGTGGGTGCCCTAGCACGTGGCCAGGGCTTGCAGTTCAAGCAAGGCTGGAATTGCTGAGGCCACAGGTAATGGCTCTTTCAGGTGGCAGGGGAAGCCTGTGGCAAGATGGGCGATGTCAGGATTAATGTGAGAATGAAACTTGGGAAAATCACATTTTAAAATGTCTTTTGTTTTACTTAGAAAACAAAACCCAACTTTTTGGTGTCTTAGATAGGGTCTCCATATATAGCCCAGGCTGGCCTAAAATTCCTTCTGCCTCTGTTTCCAAGTGCTGGGATTCTGATCACACCCAGCATTTCAGTCATTTTTATGTGGTTCTAAAAAAAGGCACTGAAGCAAGCGTCTAAAATCGCCTGGACAATGGGGAGAGTACCTCCATGGTGTAGTTGGTGTGCTTGTTGTCGAAGATCAGGGCCTCCTGGATGAGCTGGTGCTGCTGCTCCAACAGGTCCAAGTTGGGCTTATAGTCTACAATGCTACGCTCATACTGCTTGAGGTGGCTCAGCTGGTCCTCCAGGGTCCCGTTCATCTCAATTGAGATGCGCCCGATCTCCTGCAGGGAGGAAGAACGCCAGAAGTAACACTAGCCTGGAGCTACTGTCCCTCAAACCCTGATATGGAAGGCCTGCTGCTCTCACCTCACTTTTTTGTGGTAATAGGGAGTCTTTTCACAGTTAACTCCAGCTAAGCCCCCTGCACCCTTGACATCTCTATGAGGTCCTGCACTGTGACAAGCTGACTATAGATGTGGAAAGGGAGGCTCAGGGAGGCCAAGCCAAGTATCTTGGGCAACTGTATTTATCCTTTGAGGGTTTACACTTTCACCCTAGGCTTAAACTTCCAGCCAACTCTTTAAAAACAAAAAAACAAAAGCAAAGAAGAACAAGGTATCTTGGGCCTGTGTGCCCATGGTTCCCACTGCTGCAGGCTGTGGAGCCAGAGCCAACTCTTACTTTGACTTGAGGCCCCTGCAGTCCTCAATGTTAGCTGAGACAAAATGAGGCCTCTCACTGCCACACGGCACAGAGAACATTTGGTAAGGATAGAATTGCCATCAGCTGTCCTACAAAAACCCTCCTGTCCTGTCGGGAGGGTCCCTAGGGGCCCTGTTGCTCACAGCTATGTTGTAGCCCTCACAAAGAGCCCTGGGAAAAGCATTTGTTGTGGGAATGAAGTCTCTACCTCCAGGTTCAGATCAGTCAAGGCTCAAAGCAGCATCAGGTTGCCCCTCAGCCAGCTTTCCACCTGCCTGACACTGCCATTTTCATTTTCATCTGCACAGTCCTTAGGTCAGCAGGGCTTCCACCAAGAAGATATGCTAGGACCACCTCTGCTGTGCCTCAAAGTCTACAGTCCAGAGATGGGGGGGACCATGAGACCTCCTGCCCAGGAGAATCCATCTGGAGCTCTCTCAGCAGATAGGCATCCTGGGTTCAGTGTCTGCAGGGAGGCTATGGGGAAGCCTCACCTCCATCTTGGTCTGGATCCAGGGCCCCACTACATTGGCCTGGCTGGCAAACTGGCGGCGGAGATGCTCGTTGGACTGCTGCTTGCTCTGCTCCTCCAGGAGCGCATGGTCTCGCTTTGGTACCAGCTGCTGCACCTGTGGGGACATGCAGCAGCAGAGGTCAGGTGGCTGCTCTCCTACCTGCATAGTCTAGCTCTTGCAGCCCAGGGGGGCCTGGCCTACCTTTTCCCACTTGGAGTTGATGATTTGGGGGGTAACGGTGGTGTAGGGGTTGCTGCCTGACAGCTTGATGTGATTGCTCTCAGCGATCCTCTGGGCCTCCTTGTGGATGGCCAGGATGGCCTCACGTTCCCTGTCGGCGTCTGGCAGGGTAGACTTGAACTGGTCATGGGCTGAGATCAGGCCCTAGAGGAGGAAAGGGAGTGAGGGGTGCAACCTGGCTCTCTTGGGGTCCCCTAGGTGGGGTGGGGCGGACCTCGATCTCCTCAATGGTATGAACAATGAACATGTCCTGTAGGTCCTCCATGGCACTCTCCATCCAGTTGTTGAAGGGTGCGGCCCGCTTGGCATACTCCAGGTGCAGCTGGTCGATGGTCTCCAACTGCTTCTCTGTTTTCTATAGTGTGGAGAGACAGAGAGTAGAGAAGGCAGGTCAGCTGGTGAGCAGGGAGGCATCCAAGGAACTCTGAAGGTACATTTCCAGAAGCAGCCCACAGATCCAGCCACCCTACATAGCCCCAGCACCCCGAGGACACAGAGGCCCAGGCTCCCTGGTGACCATGCCACTCTTTACCTCCAAGGCTTCTCTGCGACTGTGGGTCAGAGAGCCCAAGGTGTCCCACTGGTCACAGATCTTCTGGCACCTTGTGTTGACACTGTGGGAGTCATAGTAGTCCAGCTCGCTGTGGACCAAGCAGACAGCAGTGAGAACCAGCAGGCGGGCAATGTCTAGGCCCCACACAGGCCCTGATGCCAGATGACAGTGCTGAGAGGCAGCCTCTGCTCTGCCTGGAGTGGGCAGGGATGAGGAGCTGAGTTTCCTTTTGCTGTGAGCTATGGACCCTTCAACCAGGCTTGGTATCCTGGCTGCTTGTGTGTGTGTACAGATATGTATGCAGTTGTCCAGAGGCTGGAGGTCAACAATGGTGTCGTCTGCAGTCATTCTCCATCTTTTTTGGGAGGAGATAGGGTCTCACTATGTATGGCTGGCTTAAAACTTACTATGTAGATCAGGCTGGCCTGGAACTCAAAGAGATTCACCTGTCTTTGCTTCCTCACTGCTGGGATTAAAGGTGTGTGCCCCAATACCCAGCTCCATCTTAAGAAAAAAAATTTTTTTAAAAAAATCTTATGTATATGAGTGTTTGCCTACATGTATGTTAAGTGTACCACATGTGTGCCTGGTGTACAAGGCCTGAAGTGGGCACTGGCTTCTCTTAGACTGGAGCTACAACTGTGATATCATGTAGGTGCTGGGAACCTGGGTCTTCCATGAGAGTACCAAGTACTCTTAACTGCTGAGCCATCTCTTCAGTCCCTCACCTTATCTTTTAAAACATTTATTATTTATTTGTTTTTTTGTCTTTTTGAGACAGGGTCTCCTTGTAGCCCCAGATGGCCTGGAACTCACTATGTAGACCACGCTAGCCTTGAACTCACAGAGATCCACCTGTCTCTGCCTCCAAAAGAGTGCTAGGATTAAAGGTGTGTGCCACCAAGCTGGCAAAAACATTTATTATTATCATTGTGTGAGAGCATGCATGCCCATATAAGGATATGGATATTGGTGTGGAGGTCAGAGGACAACTTTCAGGATTGGGTTCTTGCTTTTCACATCTTGTCGAAGTTTCTGTTGCTGTGTGTGAATTCTGGGCCAGCTGGCCTGAGACCTTTTGTGTGATAGGAGTGCTGGGATGATTACACCACATCCAGCTTCGTGTGGGTTCCAAAGATCAAACACGCTGTCAGGCTTTTGTGGCAAGTGCTTTTACCACTGAGCAATCTCACTGGCTCTCTCCACCTTATTTTTTGAGACAATGTCTCTCACTGAACCTGGAGCTCACTGATTCAGCATGACTGGCTGGTCAGAAGCCCCAGGTACACTGTCTCCACCTCCCCAATGCTGGGATTTTAGACACCTAGTCAACCTCCCTTTTTTTTCCTCCAGGGCCATGTCTAGAACACTCTTTCTGGGGCCACCTGACTCTGGCTCAGGGGAATGGCTTTCATGTGGCTGGGACTCAGTGTCTGAAGAGCAGGCTAACCTAGCACTCACTCCAAGTCCGCTTCAGGGGCACCCCAGTCAGCTGGGGGCCCCACCCCTATAACTTATGTGAAAGTGCCTGTGGCCTTGCTCTCTTTGGTTTGGACAAGCAGGTCTCTGGGGCTGACCCAGTGGTGGGAACAAGGGCTTGTGGTTCCCAGTATTGACGGCTCCATACTACTCTGCCTCTAGTGAGCAAATGGGAACTTTACAGCCCCCAGTAGTGAGAGGGGAGTGAGCCAGCCCTGCTCCTATGGGGCTCCCCTGGCACTGGGGCTGGGAGACCTTGAAGAACTGCAGAACTTTGGGGATGACTGCTGGGTGGGAATGGCTGCAGAAAGAGCTCCAGTCAAGGATCCTATTTTTGAGCAGACGGCTATTTTGGGAGCTCCTCCAAGGCCTGAGGATTTTTCCATGAAGTAATGGGTCAGGCCTCCCACTCCCAGAGCCCTCCTTGCTGCTGGCCACTGTGCTGGTGGAATAAGGACCCCATTCACTAGCTCCTGAGGTGCAGTGTACTAACTGTGTGCACAAGTTTATCTGACTGGGGTGGTGGGGAAGGGAGGGACAACCCAGAGGCTTGGAAGCCCTTACAATAAGTGTATTCTGAGCAGGAGGGAAGGGTAGGGCAGAACAATGGGCTTACTGTGCATGCTTTTCTCAGGGAGGAATGGTTGGCCCAGAGGCTCTAAGTAGCCCTCCCTATCAGGGGCTGGAGGCCTACAGGCAGTGGCAGGCAGGAGCAAGGGACCCCAGGACCCCCTAAAAGTCTGAGATTGAGGACAAGCAGCGAGAGGCCTCCCCTCCACTGAATAACCTAAGTCCTTTATGCTCTTCCCTGCTGTTAAGATGGGCAGAAGGTGTCATCCTGTGAGGCCCTCCTTGTCTGGAAAAAGGGGTGGAGAGTTGGGGACAGAATTCAGCCTTGGGTCCCAGGTGTGCACATACTTGAGCTCCTGGGCAATCGCAGCAATCTGCTCCACACGGTCTTGGTGCGCAGCCAGGTCGCTTTCGAAGGCCTCGTGTTTGCGAATCAGAGCTTTGATGTCTGACAGAGTGGCTGTCTCATAGTCCCGGTGCTTCAGCATGGCCTCCTTCCCTGGGGGTGGGGGGCAGAGAGGCATGTGGACAATGGCACAGCAGTCATGGAAGTATCTCAGGGAGAAAATATCTTTCATCCATCCACAAAGCCTAGAAACCTCTAGAACCTTCTTCCTTAACCCCCGAGGATCTCTATGCCCATCTATGTCCTATACAGGCCTAGGAGATACTCTACGGACCTGAGACAGATGTCCAAACTCATCTCCTGTACTCTAAATGGCATCTCTTACTGGTAGGAGACCAAAGGCTAGGATGGCTGGCACCATGTCAAGAAAGTTACAAGATGTATATGAGGAGGGTGGTGACTGGGAGAAGACCCTGGGCTTGCAGCCAGGCCTAGCAATATCAGGAAAGGAACAACAGCGGAGTCTGGGTTCTTCCAGGAGCCTTGGGGCTGTGGCTGTGCCAGCTCTTTGGGGCCCGCTCTCCGGGGTAATGGTCCTATCCCTGTCTTAGCACCGCACCCACTGTCTCATGGCTTTCTCTACACAATGGGTGGGGCCACCCAGACCCTTTGAAGGAAGGAACACTGTTATTAGTCCTGGAGCCGGGCTAATTATACACCCCAGAACAAAAGCTCAAGCAGCCCTGCAAGTAAGTTAAGGGACTGCAGAGAATGGAGGGGAAATGCCAGCCTGGGAAGTTAGTCAGGACCCCTGCTTCTTCCTCGAGAGGGTCCCTGGGCCCTTCCCTGGAGTAGCAGCTCTGGTACCCTCCTCAGCTCTTCCTTAAAGTACCTGACAAAGAGTTGGCACTGCTTGCCCAGTACTTCATCTGAAAAATGGGGTCAGCAACAACACCTCCATGGCCTTGAGCCATTCTGAATTTCAGTGAGGTAATGGTTAAGAACGGCCGGAGCTAGTGCTACCCCATCTCAGCCACTCCCAGCCCAGGGCCTGGCACCAACAGGCAGAAGTGGGCCTGTCACCCCTGCCCCAGGCAGGAGGCTTAACCACAAGGCAAGCTTGCAATTCTTTTCTCCAAAATGCTTTCTCCCAAGGGTGGGAACCAGAAATAGCAGGCTATACTCAGGCCTCAGCAGAGTTTTAGCAGGGAGCTGTTAAGTGTGTTCTATAGGGCAGCCACAGGCAGTCAAGACCCTGGGAAAAGCATCCACGTGGGCCCCTAGCCTCATGGGATGGTGTACACTCAGACCAGCCCTGAGCCCCTCCTCCAGGGCCAGGGCTACAGAAACTGTGTCCTAGCAGTGTAGAGGGGCTGCAAAGACAGTCACAATCTGTGACTTAGAACAGGCTGAGGCTGGGGACTCAGAGTAGGCAGGCCTGGGGCTAGAAGGAGGAGGGGCAGGGTTGTGTGGAGGTGTAAACCAGATGCTGCCAGGCCTGACTTCTAAAACCCTGCCCCCACCTGCCCACTAGCATTCCTCGGGAAGGAGCCCTGAGGGGCCACCATGACCAGTCTCAGAGAACCAGTTGCACAGGGTCTCTTGGAGCCTAGGCTGGGCACTGAAGAACTCTCAGACAGGAAAGCCACAGGGCAGCCCTAGAGGATGAGCTGGCAAGACACCCCCAATGAAAAATGACATCAGGAGATAGTCTAAGTGTGGGGCACTGGTGCTATGACACCCCTTATATACTCAGGGATCCCCTCATAAGAAAAATGCAAATATATGCTTGTGTGAGTACTCCTTGGACACAGTCTCACCTACTTGGGAAACTACTGTGAGAGGGTCTAGCACTTGCTATGTAGACCAGGCTGGCCTTGAACTCAGAGATCTGCCTGCTTCTGTCTGCCTCCCAAGTGCTGGGACTAAAGGCATGCACCACCATGCCCAGCTTTATTGTTTGGTTTTGCTGAGACAGGATTTCACACTGTAATCCAGGATATTCTGGAACTCACTATGTAGCTCAGGCTGACCTTGAATTTATAGCAATTCTCCTGCCTCAGTTTCCCAAGTACTGAGATTAAAGGCATGAGTCGCCATGTGTGTCTAGAGTCCTGTGTTGAAGGAATGGGTGAATGAATTAACAAATTAACTCAACGGCGGCCTCCATTTCCTCCAAGATGGTGTCACAGCCAGCATACATTCCTCCAGGGGACACCATTTCTAAGGTAGAGAAAGGTGCCTATACCCAGCCTGGTCTAACTGCCTTGCCTCACCATGCACTGTCCCCGCTGCATTTTTTTCCGTGTCAGAGAAGGGATTAGTGGGTTGCCCTAGACAACAGCAGGACTGAGCTAATGTGAGAGCAGGAGCTGGGCCTCAGCCAGGGACAGGAGTGGGGTGGGCACAATCTGTGTGGGCTATGCAGCTGCCCACAGTGCCCACAGGGGGGATCTCAGCATTGGGCTATGTACAGCCGGGGCTGTGAGACCACACAGCTGGGGCTGGATGAGGCCCTAAAAGCTTGCTGGAGACTCACAACAGACAGCCACTGGGTGGGAGTGATGGAAACCACACTGAGTCAGCAAGGAAATGCAAATCAGGAGGGTGACGGCATGGGGATGGACACGACACACGACACAGAGAAGTGGGAGCCCACAGGCAGAAGGGAGGGTCTTCAGGAGGGCTCCCTTCCCTGCCACTCCAGAACCAGAGATTGAACCAAAGGCTCCACTGGGTGACCCGCCTGAGGGTGGATCTTTAGCTTTCCACTGGTAGTGTTCAAGGGGGCTTTCAGCCCCTGGGAATCTGGAATCTCAACCATGGAGTGGGTCGGACTAAGGGCCAGGCAGCTACAAGGCTGCCGAGAAGAAGGCAAGGCTGTCCTTTGAGCAAAGCTCCCACAGAGGGCCAGGCCACTGGCAAGAAGGCTCTGTGACAGGCGAGAGGTGAGCTCAGAGTGGTGACTGGGAGTCAGGGAACACCATCTTCAGGTCAGCCAGTGGAACCAGGAGGCAGATTCCTATTCTGGCATTGAATGAGCAAGCTGGAGACACAGCTGGGCCTCTGCGGTGTGACCTGCACAGGCACAGAGGGTGTGGGAAAGGGCAAGCAGGCGGGCTGAATCTGGGATTGGGAATTGTTTTGGTAGGAGTGTGCAGGTGCAGGGAAAGGTGTTGGCTGTGCTCCTGGAATGCACAGAAAAGGGCTCACCTGTAAGCCATCTCAGGGCAGAGCAAACTGGGCATAAGGGGGATCTAGCCTAAAGGGTGACCTGCTCCTGACAGCTGCGTGAACCCAGAGTAACATTTCTACAGTCAGGAAAAGGACCTGGTAGGCAGACCCCACAGGCAGGGTCTGTGTGCGCACATGCACCTGAAGCTGACGACACAACAAGGGAGCAGGACCATACCATCGGTCCAAGCCTCATGGATTGAAGCCTTCTGCCGGAACTTCTCTGCCAGGTGGTCCAGTCGCTCCAGTCTGCGGATCTCATTCAGCAGCCATTCCTCATAGCCCTTCTCGGCCTGCTCCAGGTGCTGCCAGCCATTGTTGATGTCCTATGGGACAGGAGAGGGAGGGTAGCAAGCTAGCCACAGTGCCGGAGTTCTACCTGACTCTGCCTTGCCTGCTCTATGTCCACATGGACACATGGACATGGGCGGGCGGGGACACACACGCACGCACGCACACACACACACACAGTCTTTTCTTCCTTTTTTAGATATTTTTCCTGGTTTTTGTTGTTATCTTTTTTTAAGATTATTTTTTTATGTGTGTGTGTGTGTGTGTGTGTGTGTGCGCGCGCACCACATGTGTGCAGGTGCCTGTGGAAGCCAGAAGATGGTGTTAAGATTCTCTGGAGCCACCCAGTTGTGAGCCACCAGATATGGATCCTGGGAACCAAACTCAGGTTCTCTGCAAGAGTAGCAACCCCTCTTAATGCTGAACGGTGTCTTCAGCCTCCACATGCACTGATTCTTCTGGACTGAATGAATGTAAACATTCAGTGGGAGGGTGGGTAGGTGGCTGGACAGATAGATGGCACCACTGAAACTATGGGAGCCAGAGGTGACACCCAGAACACAACATCCCTCCCCTTATAAAGATCCCCAAGTGCTTGCTAACCCTGCAGCCCTGGCAGAGCAGGGGTCCGGATTCAAACGATCCATGCACAGTATAGTATGGTTGGGGGTAATATCTTGGGAGAAGAGTGGGGGAATTCGTTAAGTGTGAAGCATACCCTCACCCATCCCTGCCTCCAAAGACTAAGTGTTCTGGGTAAGATGATTGATGTTAGCCAAGAAATAGGCCCAACAGTGGTTGGGGAGGTGATGCTCCTGGGCACCACTGAACAGGTGGCACTCACCGAGACCATCCTGCCCTCAGAGGGCATGAAGGCAGGCCGGTTGCTAAGGCGGAGCTTGGTCTGCAGAGTATTGAAGTTGATTTCCAGCTGGCACTTCTCCTGCACCTTGGGTGGCTTGTGCACACGCCGGTAGTCTCGGAAATCCTCCAACTTCTGCTGCATCTCCTGGATGGTCTTCTGTGGCACTCGGTCCTCCAGCCATGGGATGGTGCGCCGGATCCACTCCAGAAGCTGTGGGCCCACAGGAAGTCATGGTGGCCATTGCAGGGGCTGCTCAGAGTGCTGACAGGGCCTACCCCCAGCTTACAGGCACCCAGGATGTGGACTTTCAGGTTCCCCATTTTCAGGGCCTTCCCTGCTCCCAAATCCAAATTCTTGATCCCTATTAGAACCCCACAGCACAGAATTCTGGGATTTGTGACGCTCCTGGAAGCACTGTGCTGTCCTCTACACTTCCTGTTCATGTCTTTACCCTCAGTTTTCTGTGCCCAGATCTAAATGGGTGGCTCAAATCTACTGTCCCTGCCTAGAAAATTCCTTTCCACACTGTCACAGTCTGTCACATGGCTATTGGCCTTACTGGGCTCTATTCTGAGATTCTTGTTCTGCTTGGATTTAGTAACCAATAGTGACACAAGGGGAGGAATGTGCCTGCATCATTTGGGTGGCCAGTGACTGCCCAAAGCCCAGGACCTAAAAAAGTAGAAAACTGAAAAAATACATGTATAAGCTACTCTGATCTTTGATGGGGTAAGGAAGAGTACAAATAAGCCAACAGACTGGGTGTTCTGGAACAATTCTAAGAGAGTGAAGTCAGTTATTACTAGCACAGATATGCTCAGAAGTGGATCCCAAGGGCATGATCTTTGCCTGGCCTTGGGGTCAGGAATGATGGACACCGCGGCAGCTTTGCTGTTCTTTCAGTGCTAATGGAATCTAGAGCCTTAGGCATAGCAGGCAAGAGTATTGGCACCAAGCTACATCCTAGCCCAAGCCACATTCTAGCCCTAGCTCTGCCTTTCTAAAATCCTTAACTGGAAGAAAGGAAAAGTTGGCTATTCAATAATTTCCAAATTTTCTTAGTCCATGCAATCCTAAAGCCTGGGGTGAGGATGTGGCTCGGTGATAGTGCTTCCTGAGCACCCACAAGGTCTTATCAATACCCAGTACCTCAAAAAAACAAAATAGAAGACCTTGATGCTCAGCATCTAGGAACCAGTGGTTCTAGGAACATAGGATTGGTCTTTGTAAGTTAAAAGGGAACATCTTGATAGGAGCCCATGTTCAGGACTCAAGAGACTGGCTGGCAAGATGAATTGCCTCTCTGATGCTCAGCCTTCTGAAGTCAAACACACACAAACTGGGTCAAACTCCCTGGTATCTAAACTCATTATCTTTTCTAGAAGGTCTCACAGCCACACTTGCTTTCATAGCACACTGACCCTTGGTAACAAGAAGCATCCATGTAATCTTAGTATTTGGGAGGGAGAAAGAGGAGAATCCGAAATTCAAGGCAAGCCTAGGTGGCCAGACCCTACTGGGCCTGCCCCCACCACGGGCATGGCCTATCTTCAGCTCTGGTTAGGGGAGAGCACTCACATCGCTGGCCAGGCGCTCGTAATCTTCCATCAGGTGCTCATTCTCTTGGTTCACAGCCAGCACCTTGCAGATGCGGTTGGCAGCAGTCTCAGCCTGAGTGGGGAAGCACACAATCAGAGCTGCCTGGGGCTAAGGACCCTCCCTCCTGACAAGCAAGTGCCTAGAAAGCAGGTGGTCCAAGGCCCCACAGGGAACTTCCCAAAGAGGGGAAGGAGAGGAAACAGTTCCAGCAACATAGCTTGAGGGGTCTGTTAGCATCTTGGTTTACTGCAAAGGCACCTACCACCTAGTAAGCTGGGGACACTGAAAAAGGTGGCATATCTTCTGTCCCTGCTTTGAACCAGGCCACTAGTGCCCACAGAGGGGCTATGCTGGGCCTAAGTCCTGGAAAGAGCCTCCCTTTGAATGGCAACGCAGCTGGAGTGGGGTGCTGGTAACTTGGAGGCCCAGTGATCAGAACACATTCATCCCCTTCAGCTCCTAGAGGTGGCTCATGGACACAAGTCACAATCTTAGGGGTAGATGGGAAGAGCAGGGAGGGTAGAGATATAGAATTGGCCCTTGGTTCCAAACTCTAGAAGCTTGGCCTGGAAGTGGGAGGGGAGATTGCCACACAGGAGAAGGGAGGCAGGTACCTTTCAGGAAGCACAGAAAAGGTCCAAGAGGAGTTGGAACAGCAACAAAACAGGAACAGAAATAGTGAAGAGGGTCTACAGAGTGATGAGGAGGAAAACAAGAGGCTTGGAAGCCAGCTCCAGGCTGGGCTCAGTCTCCCATCCACATGTGCCATAGGATAGGTGGGGAGGGGACAGGCTAGCCATGTTAGCATGAGTGTGTGCATATACATCTTGTACCATGCCACAGGACACACTCAAGGGCACTAGGATTTAGCTTCTAGAGGAGACTCACAGGGGCCTGGACCAGGGCACAGCAGGCCAGACAAGTACAGAAAGCCTGGCCAGGCTGCTGGTAGGGTCAGTTTCTGACCCCCAACCAGGCAGCAGCCCAAGCTCTAAACTACTCTGCTCCTGACCAGAATGGTTTGGGGTTTTTGTTTTGTTTTGTTGAAACAGTCTTACTGTGTGGCTTTGGTTGGTCTGGTACTTGCTATGTACCAGGCTAGCCTGAAACTCACAGAGATCTGCCTGCCTATGCCTTGAGTGTTGGGATTGAAGGTGGATCCAAAGAGTTTTCACTGCTGGGGCACAGAGCACTTTAGGTGCTCAAGGCTGATGAATGGAATCAGTGGGCAAAAGGAAAAAGAAGGAATGCTTTGGTGACTGGACACAGGAGTAGAAGGCATGCTCGGTACCAGGCCTGGGTTCACCCTGGGAATCTGGAAACAAAAACCCCAGAGAACACTCAAGAGACTGGCTTCTGAGGAAATGACGGCAGCACTAAAAGGCACTGCAAAGTGTCCTGAGAGGCAGACTCAGACACTGAGAAGTGTCTCGACTCCTGCAGGCCTCCCTGCACACGTTAGGCTAACCTGTATCTCCTGTCTTGTGAGATAAGTTAGTGGCATGCCTCTGTGCCCAGGTGCCCCAAAGCTTGCAACTACTCTGCTCTTTCTTGCCAAGTGCTGCTCCAACAGATCCCTCAGAGCTTCCTTCCACTACCAGACCCCAAGGTCAGCTTCAGGGAAGGAGACAGTTCAGGCAGCAGGAAAAAGCAATCATGTGAGGACAATGCCAACGAGTCCCACCATGGGTGCATCCAATGGGTACCATGCTGTTAGAGCTCATCACTACCCATCCCCACTCAGCCTTCCTACCAGTGAGGGGCCATATCTTCTCTCCCCCCATTCTGTCTGTGCCACTCCACCTCCACTCCAGCAAAACACACCAGCTAAACTCTAACCCATGCTGGGAAGATAGGAAAGGGGCTCTGAAACCTGGCCATCTGGCTAGGTAGGGACATCCCTGATGGCTACAACTCCTTAGCCATTGCACTTGCTGTGCCAGATTGTCTTAAGTCCTGCAGCTGGGGCTCATTACTCCACCCACAATCCTGTATGGGTTCAAGTAAGATCCTCATCTCTGAGAGTGAGACAGAGGTGAAGTGACCTGGCCAAGACCATGCTACCAAGAAGGGCAGAGCAAGGCCAGGCCAGCCTGCCCCCAGTGAGGCACCCACTGCCGTGGAGTAGCCCTCTGCCTCTCTGAACCTCAATTTCCTTCTTTCAGACACAGCCAATGGCCAGCATTCCTCCCTGGTATGTATAGGAGCTCTCCTAGGGCCTAGGAAGGTAAAGGCCTTGGAGAGGGTCTAGGGTGTTGTTTCAAAAACAAACACCAATTCCTCCTCAGCTCACAGGCCACTAACAAGATGCTGTTGTACAAGACGTTTTTGGGACCAGGGAGGGCACAGAGGTACCAAGACCTCCATGCAGAAATGAGAGTCCCTGAAAGGGCCAGGACCCATGAGGTAGCGTGAGGTCAGGGAGCCACACTAGAATGGACACATCTACCTATCCTGCCCACATCAGCCTGAGGCAGTCTTCTCCCAGGAGCCTCCTGGGCACCTAGGTGAAGAGCGGCAAAGGAGAGCACCAGGGCGGCAGGTGAGAGGGCACAGCAGGGAGCTGGCTGATGTGGGTCATGACACAAGAGGGCAGGACAGCAGAGGGGTCCTATCCCAGCTTCATCTATGGCGATGGACTTTTCTTCCTTGTCTTTGGGTCTGAGATGTTATCACCCACCCTGCAGGGTGGCTGTACTCAAATGCAAGACTGACTGTTGGGCCTTGAGACAGGTTCAGCACTAGCCAAGCAGTAGGAGGCACTGCCCACGGTCATGGTGGCCTGTCAAGTCCCAAAGCCCAGTCAGGGACTTCAAGCACATGTGAACCTACAGTGGTGACAGGCATGTGACAGAAAGGGTGGACCTAAGGCCACAGCAGCAAGGGGTCCTCCCACTCTGGCTCACCTTCTGGGCCCCCGAGAAAGCGTGGTAGAAGCAGGACACGTAAGTCATGATGGCTTTCTCATCTGGCCTCAGAGTGCCCACAATATCTGCGCAGAGAGAGAGAGAAAGAGAGAGAGAAAGGAAGGAGAGTGAAAGACACAGGAGGGAGGTGGCCAGCTGGCCCAAGGCTCATGCGGGAGGAATAGCACTTGCTCTGGACTGGAAGCCAGCAGTATCTCAGGCCTGTTGGGGGAATGGGGACATGCCCTGCCAAAGTTTGTAGAGGGTTGTAATGGTGCTGGACACAGTGGCACACACCTACAATCCCAGCACTGAGGAGGAGGATCTAAACTTTGAGGCTAGACTGTGCTAGAGCATCAGATCCCCTCAAATTAAAAAAAAAAAAAAGCCAGGCACAGTGATACACACCTATAATCCCATCACTGTAAATTCAAGGCTAGCCTGATCTATATAATAAATTCTAGGATTCCAGGACAGCCAGGGCTACACAGAGAGAACCTGTCTTAAAAAAAAAAAAAAAAAAAAAAAAAGCCCAACAATGCTGGACACAGTATAGGCCTTTAATCCCAGTACTTGGGAGGCAAAGACAGGTGGATCTCTGAGATCAAGGCCAGCCTGGTCAACATAGCAGGTTCAGGCCAGTTGAGGCTAGGCGTTCTAAAAAAAAAAAAAAAAAGCTAAGAGTGGTGGCACACGGCCAGCACTCAGGAAGCAGAGGCAGGAGTATCGGGACTTCAGGCTCACCTAGACTGTATGAGACCTGTCTACAAACAAACAAACAAACAAGCCACTTAAAATTAAAAGCCTCATCGCCTGGTTAGTCACCCTGTTTTGCATCTCTTCCCCTACATCATGTCTCTCTAGTCATCGCTTGAACAGGCCCCAGGGACTTTGCCCCTTGCCTCACCCATTTGCCTATGCCAGTTGTCGTCTGGCAACTTCTGCTCAGGCCACCCCTTCCCACTGATGGTCCCAGCACTCTCTACTCCACAATCCTGTCCCCTGGTCCCCAGCAGCTCCTCACCCTATGAAATGACTTGATGTGTGCTGTGTCTCACCAACTAAGATGCAAGCTCCCCTGCAGCAGGGACCTAACTGTGTCCTCACTGCCTGAACAGAGCCTGGCACACATTAGGCACTTAACAGAGTGAACAAGGAGTAGTCAGGCAGCGATACCCAGGACTGGGGGGGGCTGGCTTTCAGTCCAAGAGAGACCACTGCTGTCTGCAAGAGAAATGAAGTGAGCATGGGAGGCGAGAGGCAACAGCGGCATTGGGCAGTGGCAGCGAGGAGGGCTGCCTGGCCCTGCCCGGTACCTTCTGCGCTCCTGAAAAGGCATGGTAGAAGCTGGACACATATGTCATTATGGCCTTCTCGTCGGGCCGGGCTGTGTTCACGATGTCTGCAAGTGAACAACAAGGGTTAAATGGCCCGAGCAGAGGTGGGGCTGTCACTTGCCAGGACCCATAGGCTCCCCCAAGGCCACAACCAGGCCAGGGGGAAGGCCTCTCAGAATGATTCAATGCCAACTGCTGAATCGGGTAGGCTTGGCCATATCCAACCCCCCCTGCCACCATGGTCTCAGGAAAGGCCAAGGCTGTGGGAACTGGACTGGAATGAGGCTGCTTCCTTTCTCTGAGAATGGCCTCAAGGGGCTGCAGGACAGTGAACTCTAGGGGCCACCATGGGTCCTGGCTGGGAAATGGAGCAAAGCCGGAAAAGGAAAAAACAAAACATTCCACTCAGGAGAGCTTCAGACCCTGGCCTGTGGCTAGCAAGTCGGGGAGAGGCCGGGGCTGTTCACAGGAAGCCAGGAGCTGGCCTCTTCAGCCACCTCACCCCTTCCAGACAGCAGACCCTTCACGTACTGCCCACTCTCCCTTTTCTACCCTGAGTGCATCTAGCCAACGCTGGCTCATGTTGCACTGTTCTGGCTACCACAGGTTCATTCAGCCTTTCTGACTGACTCAGTCAGGACCCAAGCCCTCCCTAGGTGTTGACTGAGTTGTGGGTCTTCAAAGCCTAGCCTGGACAGATGAGGCCCCAGAAAACATGGTGATGAACTAAAGGGATATATTTACCTTCTGCATCCAACATCTTGGGGATGTCAAGGTATTTCTCAGCCACTTCAAAAGCATTGTTCAGGTTGGTGACGGGGTCGTCCTGGGGAGGCAGGTGGCAGAAGCAGGAAGAATTCCATCAGGAACAGTATCGCTGGCTTGGGACAAGGGAGTCCCAAAGAGCAGGGCTAGAAAGTGTTCTTAGGAATTCTCATCCGTGTGTGTTGTATAGGAAGAAGGGCCTCCTTGATAGAACAATTCCTGCTCAAAGCAAACTCTGGCCCCCTTTTCCAGAAAAATGCAGGCACACACTTCACACAGAATTGCCAGCCAGTTACAGACCTCTCAGATTAACCTTTTACCCTGAACCCAGGCAGATGTGGTCTGGGCTTGGGAGAGGATAGGGCTGGGTGGGGGCAATCAAACTAAGACCATCCATGTTTCCCTCCCTAAACCCTACTCTCACATGGGACCCACCACTACACAACTTCACCCCCTTCAATGGTTTCTAGCTACAGCAGAATCCTGTTTCCACCATAGCCCAGGCAGATTGGGTACCAGCCTGTGCCTCCCCTGGCACTCCTGTCTCTGGCTCCCAGTTGTGTCCTCCTCTACCAGAGCCAATTCAAGGGAGTATCATCATTCAAAAGCAGCTATCTGGTCCTGCATTCTGCCACCCCACTGTTCTAGGCACAGGTACCTGGCTTTGGGAGGTTGCTTTGGACATGGCTGCCTGCCTTCAGCTGGGCATAATCCAGCTGTGAAGGCCAGTAATGGCAGTCCTTGGGGACAGGACCAGAGACACTTACCTTCCTCAGTTTATCATACTCAATCAGCTCAGGTCTATGCCGGTGGATGAGGGCATTGAAGGCTAGACCATCCTTCCAGCTGCAAGGGAAGGCAAAGGTCATGAGGAAGGCCTGTGCTGCCCTGGAGTCCTGACAGCCCCCATGTACTCACCCACAGCAATCACTAGTTCCCCTTACTGAAGGTTTTACATGTGGAAGGCACTGCAGGGACATGGTATGACAGAGTGGCTTTGAGCACAACCTTGGGAGCCAGACAGTCTAGGGTTAAATACTGATCCAGCATTAACAATGTGACCTTGGATAAACCATTTAATCTTCTGCTACCTCACTCTCCATACCTGTAAAATGGGAATAGTGGCAATAGCTGCCTCAGAGTTGTAGTGAGAAATTGGACAGCACCTGACATGTGACAAGTACTGGGTGTCTCCTGGCTACTGAGATGGCCTGAGCAGCTGAGCACTGTGTTTGAGGCCTCACCAAAGAGGACAGGCCTGCGGCAGGAGATAGCTCACCATGGGAGGTAGATGTCTGAGTCACAAGACATCATACCCTGGCTGACTTGACCATGGTGGCTAAGTTCCTTGGTGTTGGGTGGACTGAGGCTCTCCAGAGGAAAATTACCCCATACAAATTTCCAAGCTGGATAGGCATTCTCCTCCCAGAGATCCTCTAAGGACTATTTCCTTCTAGAATGGACCCCCATATCACCTGCTCAGAACAGTCACCCAGCTACTTCCCATCTATCTGTCTGAATGTTCCACTCACTACCTGAAATCAGCAGCTGAACCATCTGTACCTGGGTTACCTGCCAGTCTTCTGCTGGAGGGTCCTCCTAAAGGCAGAGGCTGAGCCGTGCCCCCACTTGTGGAAGCAGCTGGCACTCTACAGATACTTAACTGACAGAGAAGTGAGCCAGTGAGGTCAGCTGCTATAGCAGGAAGAGGGAAGGGATATGCAGAGAAGAGCTATCAAGGGGGCCATGTGCTTTTGAGGGCAGAGCACTAACAGGAAAGGGTATGGCATCAGCATGGTGCCTGGGGAGCTCAAGGACACATCAGAACTGGAGGATCCTGGGAGGCCTCATGTGCCTTGCCTGTCCAAAGGCAGGGGGTGAAGTTATGCATTGAATACCATCTGAGCTAAGAGGCACTGAGGGGTACCATAGCCTCCTGCCACACTAGGTCTCAAGCAGTAGACTTTGCTTCACTCAGTTTATCCTGACAGCACCTATCCTTGACCTCCCTCACCTCATGGAGGGCATGCCCCTGGGTTGGGCTGAGTTTTCCCCATCTTAGCAGATGGAGAGCACATTTTCCAACTCTTTTTTTTTTTTTAAACTTTTACAAAAACTTTATTGAGAATTGTATACATGTATATTAAGGTGTTTTGATCAAATCCACCCAACTCTTTTTAAAAAATATTTTACAGCTGGGCGTGGTGGCGCACGCCTTTAATCCCAGTACTCAGGAGGCAGAGTCAGGCGGATCTCTGTGAGTTCAAGGCCAGTCTGGTCTACATAGTGAGTTCTAGGCCAGCTGGGGCTATTGGAAGACCCTGTCTCAAAAACACAAAAAAAAAAGACCAAAAAAATTTTTTTTATGTATTATTTTTATTTTGTTCTATGTGTATGTGTGCATGCCTGCATGTATGTAAGTACCCCCATGTTGTGCAATTCCCAAGAGGTTAGAAGACGGTGTCAGATCTCCTGGAACTGGAGTTAAGGATGGTTGTTAGCTGCCATATGGGTGCTAGGACTCGAACCTGGGTCCTCTGCAAGAGCAGCCAGTGCTTTTAACTGCTGAGCCCTCTCTTCAGCCCCATTTTCCAATTCTTAAATTCAGCACAATAGCTATTTAAGAGCTGGTCCCTCTTGAAATGCACAAATACAGGAAGAGCTTGTGGCTTCTGAGTCACCTTTGCTTGGGGAGGAAGATGTTTTGGAAGGCCTGCAGAATTGTTTAGGCAGCTGTAGTCTCCTTCAAAGGACCAGGAGACTTTCCAATGGGTTCACAAGGGGCCGGGACAGGGCAAGGACACGTTGAATACTGGTATCTTATGGACCAGGACAAAAATAGGTAAGCAACGGCAAGTAGGAAGGACGCACCTGGATTCCAGGACAAAGGAGGGGATGAGACAGGAGGGATACAGCTGGGTACCCACCTGATGTGGAAGTTCTGCACATTGACATTCTTATATGGGGCCGTCTTTCTCTGACACCAGAGGAGGAGCCCTTCCTTAGCAGAGGTCTCTGCAAAGCACATAAGGACAGAGAGATGGGTTCAAAAAATAAACCTCAGATCTCAGCCCAAACTGGACAGGACTTTCAGCCTCAGACCTGGGGACAACAATCATAACTGACAGCAGCAATGGCAGCCTCTCCTACTCTGGATGTGGATGGATCTCTGCCCATTCCAACTGCCAGCATACCGGGCCTGGCCCCGAGAAGACACCTTACTGGGGTCACCCCAGAAAGTGTTAAGGCTAGGACCCAAACCTACACCCTATTCCTGATCAGCCTGTCACTAGTTACCAGACCACATGGCAAATGAGCTCTAATAACAACCTCAGCCTGTTTCCAACAAGTCACAGAGAAGCCTTGGGGGCCCATCTCTTCCTCATGGGCAACCCAGATATCCTCATACAGTCACCTAACCCTGTCACCACAGTGACCAGGTACCCAGGAGCCCCTTCATCAACTGGTCTGGTGGCTTTTCTCATCCTATGGTGCACTCAGGTGGCTGGAAGAGGCTTATTCCTGGAGGGCCTGAGCCGACCTCAGAGGCACTCCCAAGTAGTATGTGGAGCAGAAGGGGAAGCAGCCAGGTCCAACTCCATCTTGAGTTTGCTGTGGCTCAGGTCAGCAGGTTGTAAATGGGGCCAGACATCACAATCTACTTCATGAGGGTAGCATGGGGGTTCAAAAGCTGGAGACCCCAGGATACTAATGCTCTGGGGTGACCTGGAGCTGGGAAGAGCTATGGGAAGGAGGGGTAGACCCCAAGCAAGCAGGGAAAAGACTGGAAGCATGAAGGTAATATCAAGAGTTCTTATTTAACTTGCCCCAATTTGGGGATGAAAAGGTGTGTCTTACCTTCCACAGAGATGTCCTGGATAGCGAACCTGAGGATGATGGTCCAGATCATTCCCAGGGTCATCTTTGCGTTGCCATCTACAATCTCTGCACAGAACAGGGGCAGGAGGGAATAGACAGCTGCTGACCAGAGCCAAGCTCCTCTTCTAACCCCCAGGTAGTCTCTCCTACCTCATTTGGGAACTGCGCCCAGCATTCTCTAGGCAGTATGTTCTAGCAGCCTCCTGACACTACACCTCAGACCTCTGTACATCATCTCCTGGGCCACAGAGGCCATTTCTCTGCCCGCCAGCTCATTAAGACTCAGCTCATAGGACTGTTTCTCCATAAAAAACTGGCCCAGGCCTGTGGCCCTCACTTCCTGCTTGTCATTCACCACCCTAGCAAAGTTCCACTTTTTTTTTTTGGTCTTTTCGAGACAGGGTCTCCCTGTAGCCCCAACTGTCCTGGAACTCACTATGTAGACCAGGCTGGCCTTGAACTCACAGAGATCCGCCTGCCTCTGCCTCCCAAGTGCTGGTATTAAAGGTGTGCACCACCACGCATGGTAGCACACTTCCACTTTGATGTAAGCACCCTGTACTCAGGGCTAAGGTGGTCTTTGTTCAGTCAGTCTGCTGCCTCTACTATCATCCGCTGAGGACCAGCCACTTCCTTCCAACCATCCTGCCACCGTCCCTGTCAATACCACTGTGATCTCCTGCACAGCTAGCTGCTGCTACCACCCATTATCCCACAGCTCACCTCCATATAACAACCAGGTGTGTAAGAACTGTGTCATGCCACTAGTTCAAGCTCCTCTGTGCCCTGAGTTCTTCCACAGCAGACTTGGCCTATTAGACAGGAACTCTACCACTTGAGCTACATCAGAGATGGGAATGTCTATCCTGGTTCTATCTCAGGATTCACAGTTCTAGATCCAGATACCAAGTAAGGTTGCCTACCCACCCCCCCAATGTGGGGCCAAGGCAGGTCTTAAATCAGGAAAACTACACTGTAGCCTCAAGAGGGCCAACCTTCCTCGACCAAGGACATGGCCCATTCTGCTGCTGCCACAGGTATAGGCTGGCTAGAGTTCTAGGAGGAAGACAGTTCTCTCATGACACATTCAGCAGCTGTGCCACCGACTGTTGTCCTCCTTTCCTAACCTTGGGAGAAAGCCATGTTCCTCAACTGCCAGGCCATTGGAGGGGCTGGGAGACGGAGCCAGGTTCCTCAGGTATTCCTGGTCAGGCTACCCCTCCACCCCCTTTGTCCAGGGTGTGATGGTCATAGGGGCTGGGACAGAACCAGCTAGGGCACGGAGGGGGAAGGTTTGCAGACAGAGCTCTTCCGGAACGGAGGCCTATACTGTGTCCCTCCCTTCACCCCTCTGTATTTACAGATGAGCCTCTGAGCAAAACAAACGCAGCTGTGAGAGGGTAGGGCTGGAGCAGAGCCCAGAGGAAAGATCCATGAGAGGACAGAAAATCTCTGGGCCTGACTGAATTTTGGCATTTTGGTTTTTTTAAAAAAAAAACAAACACCAACCACCTCAATGGTGGCATGCAAGTGTTGGCACCCCTGCTCAGAGGTCCTAGGCTGGGGCAGGGCCTTGGAACTCAATGGCCCACATTCTGGCCTGGAGTCCTGGCCAAATTCTCAGTCCTATCATTAACAGCATTTAGTTTTCTTTGTTTTTCTAAAAGCTAGGACATCATGGATGTCAGAGAAAGAAATTCTGCTTTGACTATGGAGCAGAGCTGGGAACACAGGCTGCCGGGAGCTTCTGGGCTCCACTGGCCTCACCTCGTGCCCCAAGGTATCTGGGAGTTCAGGCCTGGGGCCTGAGAGGCCTTGGCTTTAGGAGTGGCTGGCCTGGGGCTGGTGGCACATATCTGGGTGTCCATTCAGGACAAGGGGATCCCAGGTGTCCAGGGTCACACTCCCAGTTAGTGCACTCTGCATGCACTGCTTCAATGCTCTGCTCAGGCTATTAGTCCCTTCTCTCCTCTATGTTACCTCCTGGCAGAGAAGCCAGGTTGTGTATACAAGGTCCAATTCCCAGCCATTCCTCCTTGTCCCTAGCTGGGTGCACACTGTACTTGTCAGGTTTGGCCTGTTCCATCTAGCTTTCTTCTGAAGGATGTAGGGACTGTGGACCCCCCACGCTACCAAGTATAATTGTGATCACTAAGAGAATGTATTGGGTTGTGTGTGATGTGTACGCCTTTAATCCCAGCACTTGGGAGGCAGTGGAAGGTAGGTCTCTGTGAGTTCCAGGCCAGCTAGGGCTACAGGGAGACCCTATCGAGAGAGAGAGAGAGAGAGAGAGAGAGAGAGAGAGAGGTATTGGGGCTTTAAGTGCCCCCAAATGCTCTGCTATCACTAAAGCTTCAGGTATTGAGCACTCAAGAGGTTCTGCCTGGAGGCCTGGCACCTAGCTCAGCTGACTGCGCCACCCCACCTCCACTCACCTTCAGCCCCGATGGAGACCAGCTTGACTCCTTTACTGGCAATGAAGTCCAGGGCTTTGTTCACGTTGTTGATCTTGTGCACTCTCATCTTCCCCCGTTCTGGCTTAGGTAACCGTTCCCCTGAGACATGGGCACAGAGAAAGAAGGGGGCTAGCATGGCCTCTGCTCTCCACAACCAGGTTCCAGTCACCCAAGCTGCCCCCTGGGCCCCACAGGCTAATGCTGCTCTGACATGCTCCTCCCCTGTGGCAAGGGGACAACTGAGTGGGCAGAGGCTGCAGGAGGTGTGCAGGTGTGGGCTGCAGTGTGCCACCTGAGCCTTACCTGAAATGACCTCCAGCAGGAGCATGAGCTTGAGTCCGTCCCGGAAGTCCTCATCGATGTTCTCAATCTGCGTGCCAGCCTTCCGCAGGTGGGAGTTGCACCAGGCTGTGAATGTCTAGGGAAGAGGAACAGAGAAGAGATAGAGGGTCAGCCAGTGTCAGGGTTCTCAACCGAGAGCGCAGGCCTCAGCTCTGACCCTGGTACACAGTAACCACTATGAGGAACTGGCTTGGGGCCATTTCTTTTTTTCTTTCTTTTTTAAATATTTTATTTATTATTTTTATTTTATGTGTATGTGTGTATTGCCTGCATGTAGGTAAGTGCACCCATGTCATGCAATGCCCACAGAGGTCAGAAGAGGCTGGTGGATCCCCTGGAACTGCAGTTACAGACAGCTGTTAGCTGCCATGTGGGTGCTGGGATTCAAACCCGGGTCTTCTGCAAGAACAACCAGTGTTCTTGACCGCTGAGCCATCTCTTCAGCCCTGGGCCATTTCTTAGGATGGTTTCATGTAGTCCAGGCTGGGTCCGAATTCACTATATAGCCAAGGCTGACCTTGAACTCCTGGTTCTTCTGCTTCCACCTCCCAAATTACAGAAGTGTGCCACCTCACATACATTGTTCCTGACCTTCAAAGTAATCCAGGCAGGCAGATATAATGGAATCTGAGGCCTATGGTAGTAAACACATCAGTCACACAATCACTTGAGTGATATGTGGCAGAGCATAAATGTGAACCCAAGTTCATCAAACCTGATAGCAAGTGCTACCACCTGCTGTGGCTCACCAGTCCCACAAACTGCCTGAGTAGCAGGCCCTGCAGGCTAGAAACTGATGGGCCTTGCCTAGAGGAGTTTAGGAACTCATTTCCAGAGGGCATGGGTTTCTCTTACCTACTATAGCTCCCTCATGGAAGACCTCGGCTGTGCCTGGTTAGATATGATTTGGGACAGAAAAGCTACTGGGTAAGCAAAGCTTCGTAAAAACAAATGTTTCCTGGTCTTTCCTCAAGATTGGGGGGGGGGGGGCAGCAGCAAACCCTCAGAGCCTGAGTCTATCCCCACAGTTTGCTGTCTTATAGGTCAAGCACCTTGGTCTCTCTCTTCCCTAAAGAACATTCCATGCCTCATTCACCCGAATCTCTGAGACCTTAGATGTACCTTAGAGGTGGCTGGAAGAAAAGTGAAAGGCAGCCCTATCAGAGAAGTTTCTGAAGATTGGGCAGACAACTATAGGGCGTTTTCTGGTGTGGAGGGCTATAAGCAAGGAGCAACTGAAGTCCCAGACACCACTGCACTGAAAGAGATGGCAGAACACCCAAGTGCAGGGCCACTCAGCCCCTTGCAAGCTGCAGTGTGTTATCAGACGGCAGTGCCACAGAAGTGGCTCAGATCAGTTAACACCAACGAGCCCAGACGCCTTCTGGGGAAACCGGCTCCCTCCCTCCCACAGCAGGGTCTGGGAAAAACCAAGTCTCCACTTCGCCTAGAAGCCCCGAGAGTAGAAATGGGCAGACTGCCAGGGACATGCAAGAGCACATTCCATGCCTCGGGTGTAGGCAAAGGCTACAGGGGGAGCCAGGGGCTTCCATGGAGCCTCTGGCCAAGTACCATGTGTTTTGACAACTGCCATCAAGTCTGTTTTTTCAGAGTCTCAACATAAGGTGCCTTCTAGACAACAATACCACTTAATACACCAACCTACAGTGAGGACCCAGGAAACAAGGGCAACTAGAGTAGTCAGACCTTCCCACCCACCCTTGCTGCCATGAGGAGCTGCTTGTCTGAGAAACAGAGACCCCTCCAGCATGCACGCTGACATTCCCCAACTAAGGATACCTGTCTACTTTCAGCTGTCTCCATACAGCTATGAGCAAATCCAGGGGATAGACCACCGAGGAGGTTCTCACTGAGGCACATGCCCATTTGTTTTCCTAGTACCGCTTCCCTGGCCCCCACACAGGTAGGCTGGACCTGGTTATAACACTCGAAGCAAGTCCCTCAATCTTTTCAAATATCCATTTCCTCTCTAGAATAGGGCAATGAAGATACCACTGGGGCTGTGGTCATTACAAGGACTCCAGGTGGTAACTGTGTGCTAAAGGCTGTGTGTTGGGGGGCACAGGAGTGGTCAACTGCAGCCTCCCAGGGGTCTCCTCCTTGCCTGGCCTCATCCTACCTGTTCCATCAAGTGCATGTTCTGCCCTCTGCCCATCCTGAACAGCTGGCACAGACCGAATAATGTTCTCCACTCACTTTTTTCCTTTTTGTTTTTTTTGAGACAGGGTCTACTCTATGTAGTTCTGGTTGACCTGGAACTTGCTATGAAGACCAGGCTGGCCTTGAACTCAGAGAGTTCTGCCCTCCAAATGCTGGGATTAAAGGCACGTGCTGCCATATCCATTTTTATCTCCCCCCACCCCCTCCCAATCTGGTTTTTTGAAACATGGTCTTTCACCATGTAGTTGAGTCTGGCTTTAAACTCTTGTGTTACCTCCAAGGAGTAAGCAGTATGTCTCATGTGCCTTTTTACTGACCAAAGCATGGTGCGCAGTTACAGATCTCAGAGGATGATGGTGGGGCAAGGGAGTGGGGAAGCATGGTTCAGTGGTGGAGTTGCCTACCTAGCACATGCAGGCCTTGAGTTCCATCCCCAACACTACTAATAATAAAAACCTGAGCTCAGGGGCTCTGTAATACAGAGGGGAGCAGGCAGGGCTGGGCAAGAAGTAGCTCAAGATGCCGGCCCTCTGCTCTTGCACATGTTTGAAAGATGTTGATGGATGACAACATGACCAGGTCATAACTGACAGCCTGAGAATACAGGAGGACAGTTCCTGAAGGGTGAGACCCCTGGTAATCTGCTGCTGCTAGGAGCCCAGGGCATGTGTCTGAAGGGTAGCCCTCCCACTTGGGCCTATATGGGTTGCTCCAGCATGCTCTGGAGGGGCAGAGATGAGGGTTTCAGTGCCAGCTCTTCAGGTACCTTTTTATTTCCAACCAAATGATTTTACCAACTTCAGTCTGTTTCCTGATCTATAAGATAGATGATCAGAACCTACCTCCTGCAGTTGTTCTATGGATTGACTGGTGAGAAATGTGCTTAAAGCATCTGTCACAGTCCCTGGCACAAAGTCTGTGCCCAATGAATCACACACTGATGGGCTCCTTCTTAACCAATTACAGGAAGGGGAGGACACACTCTCTCCTCTGCACAGGCCTTCAGCCCACTCCTGTAGCTGGGAGGGGCAGTGGGACTACAGGAATGCCTGTGAGACCACCTGTCCTCACAGGGGCTGCTGCAGGACTTGCCCTTGAAACAGAAACTCCACCTTTGCTCATCTTCTCTGGACAGTAAACAAGAGGCCTGGCTTGGGAATCATGAAAACGTGCACTGAAGTCTAGCCTCTGCCACTGGTGCATTGCCATAACCTTGGGCAACTGATGAGCCTCAGCTTTCTTGTTGATGAATGGGGACCATAACCTCTCCTCTTAAGTAGAGGATTAAAACAAACAAAACAATGCAAATGATTCACTTAGCACTCTGCCTAGCCCAAGTGCTCCATGTCAAAGAAAGGTCTGTTTTTAAATGACTGGTGGCTGGACCATGTGCATCTGTCTTGCTGACTGCAGGCACACAACCCCAAGCAGTACACAGAGCAGGTGCCAGAAGGACACCCAGCAAGAGGGCAGGGAGGCCCTCCCTCCTGGCCCTAAGTGTTCCAGAGAAGCTGCCTGCAGTACCCCACCCCACAACCCCTTCCCAGGAGATGAAGGACTGTCTGCTGACATGAGTCTCCTGTCCTGAGCTGAGGGCAAGGACAGCATGCATTCAGGAAGCAAGCCGTGGGGTGAGCAACCTCTGGCACCACTGCTCCGTACAGCAAGACTGAGGAGGAGGTACTGGGGTTGGAAAGGACATTAAAAATTCATGGATTTTTTTTTTTTAACTTGGTTGTAGAAAAATAACTTTCTACACAGATCTCTTCTCTCCCTCCCCAGCTTAGACTAGGAAGTGTGGGGTGGACTGCACAGAGGGGTGGTTTCTGCTCGCCCCGTGCACCCACCCCAACTTCCTCCACTAATTCACTATTCCTTGGCCTGCCGACACCCCAGGACACCTGGAGCCAGCCACCTTTGTTCCTGCAGCAAGTGTCTGCTGAATGTCCCCTGGCCAAACCTATGAACAGTGCCTCACAGTGAGCAAAACCAGAAGCTGTGCTGGCATGGCCCCCAAACTGAGCAGACACTGGACCTGACCGATCCAGCCACAGTCTGTAACATCAAGCACACCTTAGGAAGAGTGCTGGGCACAGCAACTACAGCAGACTCCCATCATAACCACCTCACCGCCAGCACTATCCCCAACACCTGCTGTTTATTATCATCTCCCATGCTCACACCCTTTGGTGATATAGGTGCTGTTACTGCCCCTATTTTACAGGTGAGGAGACCAAGAGCTTCTGGTCAAGGGATTTGCCCATACCAGTCACACAACCAGAGAGGGAGGAACCTAAACTTAGAGCAGGTACTGTGGCTTCGGAGGCCTCTTTAGGTACCAGTCTACACCTGTGTCTTCTGCTTCACCGGGGGTAAGAAAGTTTCTCCAATGAAGTAACCCTTAAGCTCTGATCTGAATAAGGCAGATGACTGCATCAAGCAGTACAAAGGCACTGCAGCAGGAGAGGCAGAACCTCCTCAGAGGAAGGAAAAGGAGTGAAGCCAGCTTCCCAGGGGCGCCAAAGGTCAGGCTGGCTGCTGTAGGTGGAGAACCAAAGAGTCAAAGGGGTAAAGGCCAAAGCATTATGAACAGAAAGAAAGGAAGGGTCAAAGAGCCAGAGAGACCTCCTTCTGGCAGGAGGGCAGAGAAGCCATTTCAGGGATGCCTGGGGTGACGAGACATGCAAACTCAAGGACTGTTTCACCAGGGAGGAGTCAGAGCCCTTGGGAAGGAAAAGCATCAGGTTCTTCTGGTCTTTCCTGTATCTTCCAGGAGCTAGCAGGGGCAGTGGCTGTGTCTCAGCACCTCATCTAAGGGCACTCTGCTTTGCCTGCCTGACAAATGCTGACTGGGAAGCCCTGTTGGCTACTGGGCACAGGAAGAATACATACTGC